ACGAGAAGAATTGTCTCAAATATTCAATGCCTGTATTCATGTGCGACGATGTCTTTATCGCAACGCCGACTCCATGAATGAGAACCAATCACTCAAATGCAATGTTTGGGATGTCTTGCGATGGAAGGGTTCGCCCAAAGTTTGTGTCAGTAAATGGAAGCACAAGAACACTGAATACAACAGCAGACGTGTGGTTGTGGTGAATGTATTGTTCGCAGTGCTGGCCATCACTCATCTCGCATATCTCGGATCAACATTTGATGGCAAAGAGGAGGTATTTGACCATATTTTATATATCTCTCAATAAACTGATAATAATTTAAATTCCCATTAAGTCTTCCAAAGTGTCTAATGTTTTGGCCGTTTGGAAAGAATTGAAATTTTTCTCTCACTTAATATCAATCGTGACTTTCATTATTTATAAAATTATTTAATAAATCATTAAATTATACAAAATATGTATTATTTTTTAAATGTAACTTTTGATAACAATATTTTATACGATAAATTACTTAATTTACATAAACAAGTCCATAATATGTTAACAAATAAAATAAATTTGGAAGTTGAACTTGTTCAAATATTATTCAATAAAAGAGCCAATGTATAGCTAATTGAGTTAATGTTAAATTAAAACAATTCATGACTAATATTAATTCATTAAAATCACTGAGTTACTGTATATAAAGTGAACAGTCATAGTTTCAGTATAACTTATTGTAATTACAATTATATGCATATAAATGTGATATTAATTGCAATTACGGTACTGTAATCATAATCTTAGGATACAATGAGAAGGGTTGCCGTCGGCACCAGATTTAGTTCTTTCAGAGTTTTATGAACGTGTAGTTCAGTGAACACTTCGTGGACGCACTTCAGGTTAAAGTCTGTTAACTCCGACCGCTCTGATATCCAGTCCTTGACGTCCGTTAGGGTCTCATTGGCTGCGAAAGTGGCCTCAATTTGAAGACCGTTTGCGAACTTAAACCTAAGTCGAGAATACTTTGCATCAAATCTCCTGTGCTTTTGCTCTCTCATGGCTTTGGTTCTCAGCGTTTCCTCCAATTCTCTCTTTTGAGTCAATGTCTGCATTTCACGCACCACTTCATCAGTCGATAGTTTGAAGAAATTGTCACTTAAGTCGTCTTTTGGAGTCTTTTCATTGCTCTCAACACGTACTGCCTGTCTGTCCAGAACTATTGGAAACTTTTGCGGGTTATTCAGCACATCCTTATAATAACACATTTGTTCGCTTATATCGGAAGCCTTATCACTAAAAATAAGCCATTCCTCAGTCGAGTCGAGTTCAAAACCAATTGAGATCAAGAACTCGAGTCCGCCCTTCAGTTCCAACACTTTTTTCTCAATTTTTGATTTTCTAATTTTACTGAACTTTTCTCTCTCTTCGACAGTACTGTTCCCTAAATTAGTGACCACTTTATCCAATGTCTTAATGCACTCATCTATCCTTTGCTCAGAGTTATCACTACCACTGTTGCAGTTAATCAGCGTTAAGACAGACATCAAAGTGAGATCGTCCGCAAAATTGGTTTGAATGAAATCAAGGATTCTTGACAACAGTTCATCACTTGAAAGCGATTCGTTTAAACCAATTGTGGGACAACTGAACCGTTGGTTTGCATCGAAGTCCTTATACTTCTTCTCCAGTTTTTCCTCTTCTTTCACTAAAGACTGCATTTGTATTGAAAACAAAATACAATTTAAATGACACATAATTATCACAAATTGGCGACAATTCATTGTTTCGATGCAATTACTGACTGTATATTATACTATCAATTATAATCAGTGGCTATTAATGGCAATATAATAACAAACTTAGGCATCAGTTATAATCGCTGTCAGTGTCAGAGGCAAAGGTATTACACATTCACCGCATATATCAGTCAATTACTGTCAGTAATGGTATGCATTTGATAGGGAAAGCCAATGGAGTGGACATACCTGTGCTCTCTCTTTCATTTTGTATTCTTCGCTAATCTTTTGTCTTTCCTCCTGAAGAATATTCTCTAAAGTATTGCTTTTATTAGTCGTTTGTTGTCTTTGGATGCGTTCGATGGCGGCTTCGGCTGCCTTTTGAGTCGTCATATTCTTGCGGTTCGATTGACTCGTATTTGAAGTACTGGTCGATGAAGAAGTTGGTGACGAAGTGGCCGCTGAAGGTGTGCTGTTGTCTGCCAACAGGTGTCCACTTCCAGCCATTTTGAACTTCGCGTCCAACTTCTTCTTTCTGAAGAAGTCTTTGATAGCGTTGGCCATCGAGTGACACAATGAGACAAATTGTGGCTAAATTCGTGGCGAATGCTCTTTCGGGAGCTTCAGTTCCAACGCTTCCCGACGTAACTGATCTGAAGTCATGTCCACAAGTATGTCACCAATGAGTGCAATGTCTGTCATATATGTACACAAACCTAGTATTTGTTGCTTTTCTTCGTTTCTGGAGATGAGTTGTTGTATTCTTGAGCCGTAGTTGTTCCAGAAGATGACAATCAGCAACACATTGGACGCCAATAACACAGACAACCAGAACAGCAATGAGTCGATCATTAAATTGTCGG